AATCTTACTACTTTGACCATGATGACATGGCTTTGAAGAACTTGGCCAAATATTTTCTTCACCAATATCATCAGGAGAGGGAACACACTGAGAAACTGATGAAGCTGCAGAACCAACAAGGTGGCTGAATCTTCCTTCAGGAGATCAAGAGAACAGAAAAGAAGCTGTAGGTTTGTTTCTATTTTTGTTTTTTACAGAAAAAGAACAAACAATATATCTTCATTAAAATGTCAAGCAAAAATGTACAATTCTCTTTATTCTAGCAGAATTCCCCTCTTGTTCAAATTAAATAAATATTTATTGAGCATCTACTGTGTGCAAGTCGCAGCAATAAGTCCCATAAGGAATATAAAAATAAGTGAGAGACATTTCCTTCTATCAGGGCACTTATAATTGGGAAGAATAGATAAGTCAAATGACAGATTCATAAATAAATCTTTGGAAGATGAAGACTATCGGAAAGATACCCCCCAAATAGTAAAGAAGCCAAAAGGAAAGGCAAATCAAATCAAGTTCAGAACAGAGGAAGGACTTTGTGGAAGTGTTGATAATGGCATTGGCCTTCAAGGATGAGTAGAATTTTGATAGCAGAGATAGGATGGAAAGGAGAGTGTACCAAGTGAAAAAAAATATCAAGGGCAAAGCCATGGAGACTGGATAAAATTGGACGTATTAGGAGAGCAATAAATAATATAACAAAGAATAATGCACCACTGGGCTTATAAAAGTGAAATTAGTTAACTACTTCCTCCTTGTAGTCCCGTATACAGGCCAGTAATCTTTTTCCAAAAATATTTTGTATTTACTTATATTAGTTTGCTAGCACTGTCGTAATAAAATATCACAGACGGGATGGCTTAAACAACAAAAATTTATTTTCTCATAGTTTTGGAGACTAGAAATCCAAGATCAAGGCGTCAGCAGGTTTGGCTTCTCCCAAAGTCTCTCCTCTTGACTTGCTGATGGCTGCCTTCTTGCTATGTCTTCACATGACCTTTTCTCTGTGTGGGCACCTCCCTGGTGTCACTCCCTCTTCTTATAAGTACACCAGTCATAATGGATTAGGGCCACACATATGACCTCATTTATCCTTAATCACCTCTCTAAAGGCCCTATCTTTAAATACAGTCACGTTTTAAGGCACAGAGGGTTAGGGTTTCATCATAGGAGTCGGGGGCAGGGGGAGGCGGTGGGTTGGGCACAGTTCAGTCCTTAACACTTATTTAATAACCTTCTTCTGCTTAGCCTGAGAAAAGGGGTCTGGTTTTGTTCATCTCTCTACTCCACGTGCCTTAACCCAATGCTGACACATAAATATTTTTTCACCCACTTTTTGTTAATTTAGGGGTAGAGTGCAGATTATATAGGCTGAAGTCAGACGATGGAGAAGAGCTTTAGACGCTAAAGAGAGGTTTAAATAGTTTAGAATAAAGAATGAAGGTCGGAGCTATACAATGAAGCACTCTTCAAGAAAATCACTCTGTCAACAGTAGAGGATTTGTTGTAGGTAAGAGGAAAAGGAGAGTGGAAAGTCAATTAGGAGTCTTTCACTGTGGCCCAGGCAAGGGGGACCGAAGATTTGAATGCTAGGGGCTTTGGGGAAGGAGATGAGGGGAAAACCTGTTTCAAAGCTTGGACGCGACAATCAATTTGAAGCGGGAGGGGAAAAAAGGAGAAAAGTGAAGTTTTTGAGCTTGATGACAGAAAAGCATAGTTCCATTCAAGTCAAGAGGTGGTACTCAAGCTGAATACAGTGAGTTTGAGTTGCAGGTGAGCTACGTGGATGCTACTGTGGGAGAGTTTCAATGCAGGAACTAGAAAGACATGTGCATTTGTTTAGTTCGTTTCCCAACAGAAAGTTGGAAATGTGGGTCTGTTGTCTGAGAAAGAGATAGCAGAGTAAGCTGCATGATGGATACAACTTTCTTTAATTTTTGTTTCTGCAGCTCCTGGTTCAATGTCTGGCCTATATCTAATGCTCAATACATATTTGTTGAATGACTGAAATGGGGATTGAGGAGTGATCTACCTTGCAGGCATTGCAGTCAGACAAATCATTGTTAAAACCAACGGCATGAACGGAGGAAAAAGAAGTAAAGTCTAAGGACATTTAATCTCCCTCACTTGAGTTTGAATTATCACACTGTAAATTATGGGAAACACAATGGGTTATTCTCAAAATCACATAGAGAAAAAGCAATCTCAGTACCTCTACCAAAAGGCATTTTGTAGCCCGGGGGAAAAGGTTAGTAATACGTTATCTTAACAAATAGCAACACCTAGTGACCAGTTCCAAAAACAACATGAGGACTTTTCAATGAGTTTCTTCCTGAGGATTTTTGCAGCACTTTCCCATGTGGGGAAGGAAAGTTACAGTAATTGACCAGCTCTGCTGGTGGTAGTGACAATAATAACTAATATTTGTATGGTACTTAATAATTTGCAAAACACTCTCCTATACGTTATCTCATTTGGTAATTGAGATAGATATTGTTGAATAAAAATTGAGGCTGATGTAGAGAAGAGGATTGGGGTCTGGGCTGCTTGGCATGGCTGAATACCCTCTGCTCTTTGTCACAGAAATGGTGCATGATAAGAAGTGGCAGACAGGAGAAAGGGGATGACTCAGAGCAATCCCTCACCACTATTGGAATAAATAGCTCCATGGAGAGCCAAACAGCTACATACACACACGCACACACACACACACACACACACACACACACACACGCGCGTGCATGCCCACCATGTGCTTGCATACTCACAGGCACACACATACACATATGCACACACACACACACACATACACACATATACATTTTTTTCCCTTTAATCTCAGGTGGAAACTGAATCCAGTTTTTCAAGCCCTCTGTTGATTTCCACTTGAATTCCCCTCAGCAATCTTTCTAAACCTTTTCAACCCTAAAGCCCTGAACTCCAGAGCCAGGCTGCTCTGGGGTTTGAATGTCAATTCCAGCACTTCCTTGTTGCATGAACTTGGTTGCTTAATCTCTCTGTGTCTCAGTTTCACCATCTATACATTGGGAATAATCACAGAACATACCTCGGAGTCTAGCTGTGGGGTTTAAATGAGTTAATGTATCTCAAGCCCTTAAACATGCCTATCTTATAATAAGTGTTAGCTTCTATTTTTTTATCACTAGTTTGTAATTATTTATTTACATTTTCTTGCTCTTCTCCTGGCCTGGTTTCCTCGAGTGTAGAGTTTTGTTTGTCTCTGAAACCCTAACACGTATGGATGTAGTAGGTCAAGGTAAGCAGTTAGTCTCTGGGATTTCAGAGGAGTAGCAGGATATCTGAACAGTTTTGTAGAACATGATGATATTGAAGGAAATCAAAATATATCACCCCAAAATATACCACTTTGCCATGAGGATTATTTTGAACTGAAGGCAGTCAAGAAGAAGAAGATACTGGAAAAATTCCTTGCTTTTCCCCTATTTGACTAAAGGCAGGACATAAATTTTCAAAGGTGTCTCTCCTCCCTCTCTATCAGAAAAGACAAAAGGAAATCATGGGAGGCAACTTTAGACTCAGTCTGGAGATGGCACTAGCGAAATCTACATAACAAACGTTACCGACTATACTTATCTACCATTAGTTTCCTCCCATATATTTACCTTCCCACAATTTCCTTTTTTGGAAGTCTAAAACCATTTTCCTTTGTCCTGTCACTTCTCTACAACTTTATTGTTCTTTGTTAAAGATACCATATAAGCCTGAATTCTAAGCCACCTCTTTGAGTTACTCTTCCCTTAGTTTCTCCCACATATATGTGAGATCTACATGTTGATATTAATAAACTTTTGTTTTTCTCTTGCTAACCTGTGTTTATTACAGAGCCCCAGCCAAGAACCTAAGATAGGTAAAGGAAAAAAGTTTCCTCCCCGACAATACTTAAGGCAGATTATATTAGGCGATCCAGCCAGGCTCTCCAGTCTAGGGTTCTGAGCTGTCCCCAACTTTTGAGTTTGGGCAGTCTTGGGTGGGCTGAAAAGTCAGGAGAAGAAACAGGAAACTGGAAAGGGATCCATTTACTAGAACAAAGAATAAAGAGGGAAACAGGATTCAGGAGTCAGGAATAGGGCAGAAAAACTTGATGTCAGAATTGGAGCAAACCCAACACTGGATTATCCCTGTATCTTTCCTGGACAGATTCAATGGTCTCCTAAGTCTCTCCTGGTGTTAATTCATTCTCGCACAGCCACCATAGTTAGCTTTCTAAAAGTCTGATTATGCCACTTGCTTGCTCAAAAACGTTCAGTAGCTGCTGTGGCTGCCACCGTCTCATCTTCAAACCACCCTTCTATCCTCAGCTTTGTGCTGCTGGGACTGGGACTCTGCAAACAGCTTCTCTGCTCGCCAGATGGCGCCAAGTTAGGCTCCGCCAAGAGAGGGCGCTAGAGGGAGACTGAACCGCTGAAGAAGAAAAGGGATTTCTCCTTTCTGCTTCCTGTTTCTGTCAGTGTCACCACAGCAACCCTTCTTCACCAGCACCGGCAGTTCCCTTGGTTCCTTTCATTCCAGTATCACCACTTGATATCAGTTTGCAGTTTTTTCCAACACGAAGAACCAGCCTCATTGTGACCCCTTTAGAGACACCAGCACCAGCTGGTCACTGCCCCCTTCTCAGATGTCCAGGGCCCAGGACCACAGGGCCCTTCCTCTGAGCTCAGAGACACCAACCCTCAGTGGTCTGAGTTTTAATTCTGCAGGGTCCTCTTCCAAATTTCTAAGTGTGTTTTTGTTGTTGTTTTGTTTTTAATTTTGGTAAAATACACATAACATAGAATTTACCATCTTAACCATTTTTAAGTGTACAGTTCCACAGTGTTAAGAACATTCAAATTATCGGTGCAACCGATCTCCAGAACTCTTTTCACCTTGCAAAAGTAAAATTCTATACCCGTTAAACAATTACTCCCCATATATCCCTCCTCCCAGCCCCTGGCATCCACCATTCTACTTTGTTTCTATGAATTTGACTACTCTTAGGTCCCTGATATAAGTGGAATCATACGGTATTTATTCTTCTGTGACTGGCTTATTGCACTGAGCATAATATCCTTAAGGTTCATGCATGCTGAAGCATGTGTCAGAATTTCCTTTCTTTTTAGGACTGAATAATATTCCATTGTATGGACGTAGCACATGTTGTTTATCCATTCATGCATCGATGGACACTTAGTTTGCTTCCACATTTTGGCTATTGGGAATAGTGCTGCTATGAACATGGGTGTACAAGTATCTCTTTGGGACCTTGCTTTCAATTTCTTTGGGGCATATACCCAGAAGTAGAATTGCTGAATCATATGGTAATTCTCTTTTCAATTATTTAAGGAACAACACACTGTCCCAAACTTCCAAGTTTCAGTAACTCCAAACTCTGCTCCCTTTGTGTTACTTTAGTTCTTTTTTAGTTCCCCAATACCTACTTAATAATTCTTTGTATTAAGTCGTTGCTCTTAAAGGAACTGTTGTGGTTAATTTTTGTTGGAGATTAATTTTGAGGGAGGTAAGCTTTACAACTTAATCTTTAGTTATGGAATATCCAGATTGGCTGGTCACAGTGTCCTGACTGGATTCTGACAGTTATGCCCACCACTACATGGCAAATGAAAGGCAAATTCCTCAGATTTCTCTGCCCTGAGCTACTCTCACTTAAGCCTAGACCAGCTTCCAGCCGTGTTCTCCATTCACGCTACCTTCCTTTCAAATGGGGCTGTTTATCATTTGCCCCAAAAGTCTTCAGGTCACTCACCTTATTTCCTCCTCTTAACATAGTATCAGTAGAATAGATGGCTGGGTACACCTTTTAGGTGTTGGATGCTATGGTGGGCGCTTTCATGCACATCATTTCATTTTTTACTCACAACCACTTTGCATCATCATTTTCCTAGGTTTACTGATAAAGAAATTAAAGCTTAGAGAGGTTAAGTGATTTGCCTAAGTTCGCACAGCTAATTGGTCACAGGGCCAAGATTCCAGCAGCCTCAATGTCTTTTCCAGCCTTATTTACCTGTCAAAATCCTACCTCTTTTTCAATGCTCAGGATAAATTCCACTTAGCCCATTAAGCCTTGGCCAGTCCTCCCCTGTAGATTAGTTTCTTCCTCTTTCTGTTGCCAAGAGCATTGCGTCTGAAACTTCTTTGGAGTTGTTAGCACGTCATTTGGCTTATGTGAAGTTTTCTCTTTACTATATTTTTATCTCCTGAGGGCAGGTACCATGATTTGTTCATCTTTGTAGTTTACCCCCAGCACCAAGCATCGTGCCTGTACTTCGTAGATACCCATAAATGCCTTGAACATCTGGGAAATGCTTAGGGAGCTTTGCCTCACTAGGATTCACTTCTTTGGAAAACGGCTAGTTGGTTAGCCTGTGTCTTAGTCCCTTCAGGCTGCTGCAACAGAATACCATAGACTGGGTGGTTTATAAAGAGTAGAAATCTATTTTTCAAGCTTCTGGAGGCTGGGGAGCCCAAGATCAAACGTGCCAGCAGATTTGGTTTCCGATGAGGGCTTCCTGGTTCATAGGTGGCCATATTTTTGCTGTGTCCTTACGTGGCAGAAGGGTCTAGGGAGCTCTGTGGAGTAGTCTTTATATAAGGGCACTAGTTCGGTTCATGAGGGCTCCACTCTCATGACCTAATCACCTCCCAAAGTTCCCATACCTAATACTATCACCCTAGAGGTTTGGTTTCAACCCTTGAATTTCTGGGCAACGGGTGGGGGATCACAAATATTCCATCTGTGACACCCAGTGACCCAGTGTTTGACTCCTGGGGCCTTGTAGAAGTTCATGTCAGTACAGATACTCTTTTTACAGTGTTGCAAACATGTGCTGCCTGCTAAGCTAACTGGAGGATCTCACATCTGGAATCATCTCCCTCAGCTGGGTGGCCACAGCCCAAGGTTTGGTGGCCTTGAAGTGGGAGGCTTAAGGCAAATAACAGTGTTTGATTCATTGCTTTTCTGTGGTTTCTGTGTTTCTTGGGATTCACTTGACAAGCCAAATGTTCTTACATGTTCTGAGATGCCAAGATATACTGTAATGACCCTGATTTATTTTACCTCCTTATGTGCAGCTATGGAACACTTTGAAGAGATGTGAGCAAGTGCTTACATACTACTTCAGGGGCATCCAGAATAAGGCAGTGATGAATATCAAAGCATCATACTCTGGCCTGTGAAATTTTACCCTTTGTGCACTCACCTGAGAATCCCATACATGCATAAATTGGAAAATAACACGACACTGCCTTGCTTAAAACCCACCAAAGGCTTTCTCCCCTTTGCACTTAGAATAAAATCCAAGCTCCTTCCCATGGGCCATAGACCCTGCATGGTGTGGCCTCTATCTTCATGCCCCAAATCACTGGACACTACTCTGTGTGTTGCTAATATGCATCCCAGTTTTCCCAGGACTGTCCTGGCATAATTGTTAATAACACATACTTTCATGATCAAAAATGTCCCTATTTGGACAAAATTATATAGTCACCTTACCTCCTGCTCCCTAGCTCCAGCCATACTTGTCTTCTTTTCATGTCCTACTGTTTGCCACTTCAGGGCCTCTGCAATGCTGTTCCCTCTGGCTGAAAAGATCTCCCACTCCTCATTTTTCTAGGTAATGATCACAGTGTTGTCAGATTCTTTACACCTTGCTTTCATCAGGTGACGATTCTGATGAAGATGGAGTTAGGGTGTGTTCTAATTTCATTCTTTACATGTAGCAGTCCAGTTTTCCCAGCACCACTTATTGAAGAGACTGTCTTTTCTCCATTGTATATCCTTGCCTCCTTTGTCATAGATTAGTTGACCACAGGTGCATGGGTTTATCTCTGGGCTTTCTATCCTGCTCCATTGATATATATTTCTGTTTTTGTGCTAGTACCATATTGTCCTGATTACTGTAGCTTTGTAGTATAGTCTGAAGTCAGGGAGTCTGATTCCTCCAGCTCCGTTTTTTCCCTCAAGACTGCTTTGGCTATTCAGGGTCTTTTGTGTTTCCATAAAAATTGTGAAATTTTTTGTTCTAGTTCTGTAAAAAATGCCATTGGTAATTTGATAGGGATTGCATTGAATCTGTAGATTGCTTTGGGTAGTATAGTCATTTTCACACTATTGATTCTTCCAATCCAAGAACATGGTATGTCTCTCCATCTGTTTGTGTCATCCTTGATTTCTTTCATCAGTGTCTTATAGTTTTCTGAGTACAGGTCTTTTACCTCCTTAGGTAGGTTTATTTCTAGGTATTTAATTCTTTTTGTTGCAATTGTAAATGGGAGTGTTTCCTTAATTTCTCTTTCAGATTTTTCATCATTAGTGTATAGGAATGCAAGAGATTTCTGTGCATTAATTTTGTATTCTGCAACTTTACCAAATTCATTGATTAGCTCTAATAGTTTTCTGGTGGCATCTTTAGGATTCTCTATGTATAGTATCATGTCATCTGCAAAGAGTGACTGTTTTACTTCTTCTTCTCCAACTTGTACTCCTTTTCTTTTTCTTCTCTGATTGCCATGGCTAGGACTTCTAAAACTATCGTGTATAATACTGGCAAGTGTGGACATCCTTGTTTTGTTCCTGATCTTAGAGGAAATGCTTTCAGTTTTTCACCATTGAGAATGATGTTTGCTGTTGGTTTGTCATATATGGCCTTTAGTATGTTGAGGTAGGTTTCCTATATGCCCACTTTCTGGAGAGTTTTTATCATAAATGGGTGTTGAATTTTGTCAAAAGCTTTTTCTGCATCTATTGAGATGATCATATGGTTTTTATTCTTCAATTTGTTAATATGGTGTATCACATTGATTGATTTTCATATACTGAAGAATCCTTGCATCCCTGGGATAAATCCCACTTGATCATGGTGTATGATCCTTTTAACGTGTTGCTGGATTCTGTTTGCTAGTATTTTGTTGAGGATTTTTACATCTATATTCATCAGTGATATTGGTCTCTAATTTACTTTATTGGTAGTATCTTTGGTTTTGGTATCAGGGTGATGGTGGCCTCATAGAATGAGTTTGGGAGTGTTCCTTCCTCTGCAATTTTTTGGAAGAGTTTGAAAAGGATGGGTGTTAGTTCTTCTCTAAATGTTTGATGGAATTCACCTGTGAAGCCATCTGGTCCTGGACTTTTGTTTGTTGGAAGATTTTTAATCACAGTTTTAATTTCATTACTTGTGATTGGTCTCTTCATATTTTCTATTTCTTCCTGGTTCAGTCTTCAAGGTTATACCTTTCTAATAATTTGTCCATTTCTTCCAGGTTGTCCATTTTACTGGCATAGAGTTTCTTGTAGTAGTCTCTTAGGATGTTTTGTATTTCTGCGGTGTCTGTTGTAACTTCTCCTTTTTCGTTTCTAATTTTATTGATTTGAGTCCTCTCCCTCCTTTTCTTGATGAGTCTGGCTAATGGTTTATCAATTTTGTTTATCTTCTCAAAGAACCAGCTTTTAGTTTTATTGATCTTTGCTATTGTTTTCTTTATTTCTATTTCATTTATTTCAGCTCTGATCTTTATGATTTCTTTCCTTCTGCTAACTTTGGGTTTTGTTTATTCTTCTTTCTCTAGTTCCTTTAGGTGTAAGGTTAGATTGTTTATTTGAGATTTTTCTGGTTTCTTGAGGTAGGCTTGTATTGCTATAAACTTCCCTCTTAGAACTGCTTTTGCTGCATCCCATAGGTTTTGGATCGTCATGTTTTCGTTGTCATTTGTCTGTACGTATTTTTTATTTCCTCTTTGATTTCTTCACTGATCTCTTGGTTATTTAGTGACATATTGTTTAGCCTCCATGTGTTTGTGTTTTTTATGTTTTCTTTCCCTGTAATTGATTACTAATCTCATAGAGTTGTGATCAGAAAAGATGCTTGATATGATTTCAATTTTCTTAAATTTACTGAGGCATGATTTGTGACCCAAGATGTGATCTATCCTGGAGAATGTTCCATGTGCTCTTGAGAAGACAGTGTAATCTGCTGATTTTGGATGGAATGTCTTATAAATATCAATTAAATCTATCTGGTCTATTGCGTCATTTTAAGCTTGTGTTTCCTTATTAATTTTCTGTCTGGATGATCTGTCCATTGGTGTAAGTGAGGTGTTAAATTCCCCCACTATTATTGTGTTACTGTCAATTTCCTCTTTTATAGCTGTTAGCAGTTGCCTTATGTATTGAGGTGCACCTATGTTCGGTGCATATATATTTATAATTGTTATATCTTCTTCTTGGATTGATCCCTTGATCATTACGTAGTGTCTTGCCTTGTCTCTTGTAACATTCTTTATTTTAAAGTCTATTTTATCTGATATGAGTATTGCTACTCCAGCTTTCTTTTGATTTCCATTTGCATGAAATATCATTTTCCATCCGCTCACTTTCAGTCTGTATGTGTCCCTAAGTCTGAAGTGGGTCTCTTGTAAACAGAATATATATGGGTCTTGTTTTTGTATCCATTCAGTGAGCCTGTGTCTTTTGGTTGGAACATTTCATCCATTCACGTTTAAGGTAATTATCGATATGTATTTTCCTATGACCATTTTCTTAATTGTTATGGGTTCCTTTTTGTAGGTCCTTTTCTTCTCTTGTGTTTCCCACTTAGAGAAGTTCCTTCAGCATTTGTTGTAGAGCTGGTTTGGTGGTGCTGAATTCTCTTAGTTTTGCTTGTCTGTAAATCTTTTGATTTCTCTGTCGAATCTGAATGAGATCCTTGCCCGATAGAGAAACCTTGGTTGTACCTACAACCCTTTCATCACTTTGAATATATCGTGCCATTCCCTTCTGGCTTGTAGAGTTTCTGCTGAGAAATCAGGGGTTAAACTTATGGGAGTTCCCTTGTATGTTATTTGTCGTTTTTCCCTTGTTGCTTTTAATAATTTTTCTTTGTCTTTAATTTTTGTCAATTTGATTACTATGTGTCTTGGCGTGTTTTTCCTTAGGTTTATCCTGCCTGGGACTCTCTGTGCTTCCTGGACTTGGGTGGCTATTTCCTTTCCCATATTAGGGAAGTTTTCGACCATAATCGCTTCAAATATTTTCTCAGGTCCTTTCTCGCTCTCTTCTCCTTCTGGGACCCCTATAATGTGAACGTTGTTGCATTTAATGTCGTCACAGAGGTCTCTTCGGCTGTCTTCATTTCTTTTCATTCTTTTTTCTTTATTCTGTTCCGTGGCAGTGAATTCCACCATTCTGTCTTTCAGGTCACTTATCTGTTCTTCTGCCTCAGTTATTCTCCTATTGATTCCTTCTAGTGTATTTCTCATTTCAGTTATTGTATTGTTCATCTCTGTTTGTTCTTTAATTCTTCTAGGTGTTTGTCCTTTAATTTTTCTAGGTCTTTGTTACACATTTCTTGCATCTTCTCTATCTTTGCCTCCATTCTTTTTCCAAGGTCCTGGATCATCTTCACTATCATTATTCTGAATTCTTTTTCTGGAAGGTTTCCTATCTCCACTTCATTTAGTTGTTTTTCTGGGGTTTTATCTTGTTCTTTCATCTGATACATGGCCCTCTCTGCCTTTTCATCTTGTCTATCTTTCTGTGAATGTGGTTTTTGTTCCACAGGCTGCAGGACTGTAGTTCTTCTTGCTTCTGCTGTCTGCCCTCTGGTGGATGAGGCTATCTAAGAGGTTTGTATAATTTTCTTGATGGGAGGGACGGGTGGTGGGTAGAGCTGGGTGTTGCTCTTGTGGGCAGAGCTCAGTAAAACTTTAATCTGCTTGTCTGCTGATGGGTGGGGCTGGGTTCCCTCCCTGTTGGTTGTTTGGCCTGAGGTGACTCAGCACTGGTGCCTACCCAGCTCTTTGGTGGGGCTAATGGCGGACTCTGGGAGGACTCACACCAAGGAGTACTTCCCAGAACTTCTGCTACCAGTGTCCTTGTCCTCACGGTGAGCCACAGCTGCCCCCCACCTCTTCAGGAGACCCTCCAACACTAGCAGGTAGGTCTGGTTCAGTCTCCCCTGGGGTCACTGCTCCTTCCCCTACGTCCTGATGCTCACACTACTTTGTGTGTGTCCTCCAAGAGTCGAGTCTCTGTTTCCCTCAGTCCTGTCGAAGCCCTGCAATCAAATCCCGCTAGCCTTCAAAGTCTGTTTCTCTAGTAATTCCTTCTCCCGTTGCTGGACCCCCAGGTTGGGAAGTCTGACGTGGGGCTGAGAACCTTCCCTCCAGTGGGTGGACTTCTGTGGTATAAGTGTTCTCCAGTTTGTGAGTCACCCACCCAACAGTTACGGGATTTGATTTTGTGATTGCGCCCCTCCTACTGCCTCATTGTGGCTTCTCCTTTGTCTTTGGATGTGGGGTATCTTTTTTGGTGTGTTCCTGTCGATGATTGTTCAGCAGTTAGTTGTGATTCTGGTGTGCTCACAAGAGGGAGTGAGCACACGTCCTTCTACTCCACCATCTTAACCAATCACCCAGGGATCCATGTTTTTTAGCAAGTCTCCTTGGGTGACTGATGCACATTAAGATCTGGAAAGCAACAGTGTCAGCCATTTCTCACCCAGTTTTCTAGGACTACTATTCAGCCTTTTGTGTGTACCAGATTTGCTTCCCTATCTAGAGCATGGCTCTCTGAGGATAAGGATCCCATCATATAATACTTACTATCCATTGAGTACCTAGCATGAAATAGGGTGTGAAGGAATGCATAAACCATGGGGCCTAATTCCTCGATAAGGAGAGTTCAAGCAACATGTAATAAACCCACTTAATAAACATTGCTTGATATGGAGGTTCCTCAGAAAACTAAAAATAGAATTACCATATGATCCATCAATCCCACTCCTGGGCATGTATCCAGACAAAAGTATTATTCAAAAGATACTTGCACCCCTATGTTCATAGCAGCACTATTCATAGTTGCCAAGACACAGCAACATCCTAAATGTTCACTGAGAGATGAATGGATAAAGAAGATGTGGTACACATATAAAATGGAATACTACACAGCCATAAAAAAGAATGAAATAATGCCATTTGCAGCAACATGGATGCAACTAGAGATTGTCATACTAAGTGAAGTAAGTCAGAAAGAGAAGGACAAAAATCATATGATATCACTTATATGTGGAATCTAAAATATGACATGAATGAACTCATCTATGAAACAGAAACAGAATCATGGACATAGAGAACAGACTGGTGGTTGCCAAGAGGGAGGGGGTTGGGGGGAGGGATAGAGTGGGAGGTTGGGGTTAGCAGACGTAAGCTATTATATATAGAATGGATCAACAACAAGGTCCTACTGTATAGCGCAGAGGACTAAGCTCAATATCCTATGATAAACCATAATGGGAAAGAATTTTTTTTTAAAGAATGTATATATATGTATAACTGAGTCACTTTGCTGTGCAGGAGAAATTAACACATTGTACGTCAACTATACTTCAATTGAAGCAATATTAAAACTGAAAAAAAAAAATACTGCTTGAGACTTACTATGGCTGGCCTTGCGATAGCGATGGAGGAGACAGCTCTGCCCACATGGTGCTTACTGATGGGCAGGCACAGACAAATAAATGGGCAATGACAGCTGAGTACCGTGGTTCAGAAAGGAGACGCCAGGAGCTCTGGGAGCATAGAGGAGGAACAGCTTACTCAGACGCAGGAAGCCAGGGGTTCTTGGAGGAGACTGGGGGTGAAATGGGAGAAATCCCCATCTCGGCAGAAGAAACTCGTTGCAGTGGCCTAGATGTCAGAGGGGAGTTCATTTTTTAGGGGCGGATGGAGAGTAGGCGATGGAAGGAGAGGCGACTGGAGAGATAAACAGAAGCCCATTCATGAAGGGCCTTGTATGCCATAGTAGGGGCAGGGAAGGGGGGGTGGGCTTGGCCTCAGCATTAGGTGTAAACATCCCCCAAACACATCAGACCTTTCACCTCGGGGCTTGTTTGGAAAGAAAATCCCACACCTCAAAGCTCCCTGGTTCATCATTGTAAAGTTAGAGGAAGAACATTGCCCTCTCAAGAGGCCTTCCTGACCAGTAACAGCTCCTCCCCATTATGTCACTCACGGTCCTCCCATCCTTTGACTCTGGTAGGGGGTTGGGGTGTTGACTAATAATGTATAGTCCTGGCTATGGGGCTTGGTCCTTGCATGGGGTAAGGAAGCTATGCTGTGGATTTACATGAACTGCTTGTTCTGAGAACTGTCAGGGCTGAGGAATAGAATCTCGGCACAGGATCAAGAATACCAGGTGCCAGGACAACTGGAAAAATTTAGATTGGGCTGTGTACTAGGAGGTATTACTGATTCAGTGTTAAATATTATGCTTATATAGGAGAGTATAATTTTTTTTTAGGAGACAGTTGTTGAAGTGTTTAGGGGTAAATTGTCATGATGTCTGCAACTTAGTATATATTTATATCTTTGTATATGTATGTCTATATATCTATATCTGTATCAAATATATCTAGCTAGCTAGTTATAGGAGAAAGTAAATACATGGCAAAATGTTAACAATTAGCTAACCAAGATAGATGAAGGCTATAGAGATGCTCATTGTGCTATTCTTTCAATTTTTCTGTAGGTTTAATATATTTTGGAATTAAAAGTTGGGAGATGAAGAAAACAAAAACTATTGGGTTTCTGGCTTACCATGCTTCCTCTGAGATTTTGGCAGTTTGAGACCTTCCACTCACTTTACTGATGGCCTATTCATTTCTGCATCTTGGAGCTTCCAGAGGACACAAGGTCTTGAAAATCTGTTTTGAAGTTATAGAAGTACCATTCTTCTAATCAAAAGACACATACCAAAAGGTTAGGAAATTGTTCTGCCCACTCTGCAAGATTCTGTTGCTTTCCTGTGTTGGAAAATGATTTATACAAACAAGCTGGTCAGCAGTATATTTGAAAATACCACACGCAGGAATCGTATCATGCTTTATGTTTTACGTTTCTTGGGATTTTGGTTTTCAACTACCCATTGAATTCTCATTTTAGGCACTCGTGATGTATGCTGCCTTAAATAATTCATAACACAATTCTGTCATCTGTTACAACCATATTCCTCACTCCAGAGATTTACAAAATGTGTTTTCGGATAATTGCATGTGGGCTTAAGAAATACAGCAAGGGTTCTTTTGAGAGAAGAGGAAGAAGGTGGTTTATAACTAGTGATGTAATAAATGACATAAGGATGGGTGTACTTAGTGAAGAAAAGCTATATGCTTGAACAAACAGTTTACTCTGAGCTTCAACAACTGGCACGTGATATGCACCATTCAGGAAAGTGATTATTTAGGGAAACTCAGTTGGATCAGAAATCTTTCAGTCTACTTATTCTTTACCATCTATTTGTTCTGAGAGTATCTTTGAAAATATCCCTAAAGAAATATACCAGATAATCCCTCCTTTCAACAAGATTTTATTACACACAATTCACTCTGTTTTTTATTGAAGTATAATTGATTTACAATATTATATTCGTTTCAGATGTATAAAATCTTGATTCAAAATTTTTATAGATTATACTCCACTTAAAGTTATTATAAAATATTGGCTATATTCCCTATGCTGTACAATATATTCTTGTAACTTATTTATTTTATACATAGTAGTTTGTACCTCTTAATCTCAACCCCTATTTTGCCCCTCCCCCCTTCCCCTACACACTGGTAACCACTAGTTTTTTTCTCTATGTCTGTGAGTCTGTTTCTGTTTTGTTATATACATTCCGTTTTTAAGTTTTTAGATTCCACATATAAGTAATAACATACAGTATTTGTCTTTCTTTGTCTGACTTATTTCACTAAGCATGGTACCCTCCAGGTCCATCCATGTTGTTGCAAATAGCAAAATTTCATTTTTTATGACTGAATAGTATTGCATTATATGTATATACCACATCTTCTTTATCCATTCATGTGTTGATGGACACTTAGGTTGGCTTCCATATCTTGGCTATCATAAATAATGCTGCTATGAACATTAGGGTGCATGTGTCTTTACAAATTAGGGTTTTCCCTTTCTTTGGATATATACCCAGGAGTGGACATGCTGGATGATATGGTAGTTCTATTTTTAGTTTTTTGAGGAACATTCATACTGTTTTCCATAGTGGCTGCACCAATTTACATTCCCACCAACAGTGTATAAGTGTTCTCTTTTCTCTACATCTTCACCAATATTTGTTATTTGTGGTATTTTTGATGATAGCCATTCTGACAGGTGTGACATGATATCTCATTGTGGTTTTGATTTATATTTCTCTGATGTTTAGTGATGTTGAACATTTTTTCATGTACCTGTTGGCCATCTGTAGGTCTTCTTTGGAAAAATATCTATTCAGGTCTTCTGCCCATTTTTAAATTGGGTTGTTTGTTTTTTGGATGTTGAGTTGTATGTGTTGTTTATATTTTTTAGATATTAACCACTTATTGGTCATATCATATGCAAATACTTTGTCCCATTCAGTAGGCTGTCTTTTCATTTTGTCAGTGGTTTCCTTTCCTGTGCAAAAGCTTTTCAGTTTAATTAGGCCTCAATTGTTTATTTTTGCTTTTGTTTCCTTTGCTTTGGGAGACAGATTCAAAAAAAAATATTGTTATGATTTATGTCAAAGGGTGTTTGCCATGGATTTTCTTCTAGGAGTTTTATGGTTTCTGGTCTTACACTTAGGTCTTTAATCCA